CTAGAACGGCGGCCTTCAAATTATTCCGCGGCACAGCGTACTCAGTGAGTCTAGTTTAATTCTCTTCCAACGTCTTTGGTCCAACGCCTCCTGCCAGCAGCCATGAAGTGAAAATCAGGGGGCTTTGTGCGCGCCACGCCCCGCGCGGAGACAGCTGCGCGCAGGGCGCAGATTGATTAACGCGCGCTGGGTGGGGCGGCGGATTTCGGCGGCTTTGATTCTAAAGGAGGCCGTTTGAGTGGGCGCTGTCCCGCGACTCGCGCGGCCGAGCCGAGAGCTACGCTCACAGTTGCGTAAGAGCGGCTTGAGAAAATGCTCGCGTTCCGATTTAGGGATGGCTTTTTCACTCATCCCTCAAGGCGGCTCCACACATTCGGCAATCGCCGAGCTGCTCGTACAATACCGAATAACTGATGTTTGGCGAATATTCCATTTGATTCCATTTCCATTTGATATGTCCTAAAGACCGACACGCGGTGAGTAAAGGCGGCTCCACACATTCGGCATTCACCGAGCAGCTCGTCCAATCTCGAACAGCTGATGTCTTCGGCGAATATTCGCTCCTTTTAATATGTCCTAAAGATCGACACGCGGTGGGTAGGGCGAATACCGAACATTCGGCGCTCTGCGAATCGCAAGCAACACTAATCGGGATTCGGCGAGAGGTTGCTCGGTATTGGCCGAATGCCGCATGAGGTGCCTTTATGCGTTTGGTCTCCGCCTTTTTTTCATTTATGGTTTTTAATAATTAATAACATAATTAGGCCTAATCGATCAATTAACTAATTCTGTTATTTGTGATATCATCCATCAATTGTTCAAACTTTTACGTCATATCAACATATTTTTTTAAGAAACAATAATATAAATGAGATTGATTATTTCGTGTTTTTTCGTCAGCCACTATGGTTATTAGCCCCGTAAGTGTAGTACTTGATTTTTTCATGGGAGGTGGCGATGTTCTGTCTCTGCTGGATGGTGAAATCCGGTGGCGACCTACATGTAATCTTGTGTGGGGTTGTGGTCTACGTATCTTCAACCAGCAAAGTACCTGGGACACGCTCTTTGCTCCTGACTGGTCTCCCGAAATATGTGGTTGTATAGTGCATGAATATTTAAAAGTATGCAAACAACCGGTGATAATTTTGAGGAACAGGACAAGGAAAGGAAGGAGGTCCTTGGCAAGTTTGTTACGGTACTGTCCAGGAATATCGCCTGGTGTTGATCGCAGAAACGGAGAAACAATCGGAGAAACCACGAGAAACATCAAAGCAATCGGCCGATAGAATTCTTCTCCACACAGGAGCTGAATTCGATCTAGCTATCTAGCTAGTGTCGGAAATCCTCCCATCATCGGGACTCGAACCCCAGAATCTCCCTGTCAGTGTCTCTAGCAGGCCCTAGAGTGTCTGCAGTGTCTTCAGTGCATGCCCTCAAACACCCAGGTACCCCTCATACTATATAAATGAGAAATACCTTCTCATAAAGTAGGACGAATCGTACGCCATCAACAACTCATTTGTTTGGATTACGTTTATCGGTTGTCGATCGGTATGAACGCATTTTTCATCCTAGTGTTGGCGTGACGTCGACATAACAAAGCGTTATCATGAAAACGTTTTAGAGTATACCAAAACGTACTCTGAACAAGTTCAATTGAGAGAATGTAGTTCATCAACAAAAGAATATGACTTGAATAACTTTTCATCAAGGTAGATCAATAGTTTCATTGCTAAAAAAAGACGACAGCAATTATGCCAAAGTTTTGACAATAGGGACAACAACATTGACAATTTTCGTAAACGATAAACGTAAGATTTATAAAATGAAATAAAATTGGTAGTGGTGAGGATTATTTTATGAAGAATATTACGTGAGAAAAGAACGAGTGAAATCGTCACCTAATAAATTCGTCACCACGTATTCACACCTAATAAATCGAGTTGTATGCAGTATTTTTTGATTAATGAATTGTTATCCAACTTAACTTTTACCTTCACTACGAACTCTTACGTTACAGCTGGCATATAACTGGGGTTCAGCAAATGCCACCTTGATGACAGCTAACCAGGTGTCTGTATTGACATTGGTTCCACTCCAATGAGCAGTAAGTGAATGAAAATAGAATAATTTTTTTATGTCATCGACGTATATTAATAGTTTTAACCGTTCAATATCTGATACACTTTTGATTTGGAGCTTCAATTTATTACTCTCATATCTGGAAACAGCAATGGGTATTTTATTTAAACGATTAAATGCTTGGATGAAGTCGTAGGCTTCCGCGACCAGAGTCATGTGGGAGATTTAGGCTGTCCGGGTGACGCCGCGTCGAAGGCTGAGTTGCCGACGTTTCGACCATCCTGTCGTGGTCTTCCTCAGGACTGACCAGGCTGCTCAGGGCTGGATGGTCGAAACGTCGGCAAGTCAGCCTTCGACGCGGCGTCACCCGGACAGCACAGATCACCCACGATTCAATGCTTGGTTCGCGATTGATCCAAGACCAATACTATAATACATATTTGAGTTGCCGTCATCTAATATTTTAATTGTGTTTTAGGAATAAAAAACCTACAAATTTACGAAATTACGAAAAATAATAACGAAAAAGATTTCCGTACATTTTGCTTCCACATTTCTTGTTCTTAAAAACCATGGTTTCTTTAGCAGTAATGCAAAAAAAATTAAAATAAAGCAAAGATTCATGAACCAAACAAGGAAATGAAACTAAAGACTCGTCACTGATAATGAGCATCCGGACTTGCTTCAAGAATCTAATGTCGCCAACCCTTCGTTTGATGATTCCCTCAACTTTGGGTTATATAAATCCACTTGCAACTACATTATCATAATCGATTGACGAACATTGAAAAATGCTCGATAATGAAAAGTGTGAAGGGAGGCAGATAGATGGACAACATACAAGGAAATAAAAGGAAATTTTAGGGTATCCAAAGAAAATCAAAATTAAGATCCACATCCATAAAATGAAAATAGTGCCATGTCTTTACTCAAGTGTGCGAGTAAAACACAAAAGTTCTCCTCTAAAGAAGATGACAAAGCGTGAAAAGGAAGTTATTCGAAACTGACTTAAGTTTTTATGCAGAACTTCTGTTAAATAGTAAATTATACAAGTTCTCCTTTATTTGCCATTCAATGAAAATCGTCTATGATCTCTTAATTTCTTGTTTAAATTAAGTACGGTGTCCCGAAGTTCAATTTAATGTGTCCCAACGTACTTGCGACCATTTTACAGATTTTTTAAAATAAAAATTTAATTTGTTAGATGAACAGAAAACTTATGCATCCATAATAAAAGCGAAATTCGAGTTTCCTTAGAATATAAAAATATGCTATAATCCAAAACAAAGTAGGAAAAGAAGCCAATAACAATGTTACTCAAAGTACAACACTGAGTCATATCAGAGCTTAAATTGTCGGATTGAACAAGTTAACCGAGGGTCAACACATAAGTTTAGTATTCCGTAACCAGTTTATTTTATGCAAGTTTCATTTCTTTATACACGGAAAGAAAGGAACTAGTTTTTTTGTTCTCTAATATTTTATGTTATTTTTAAGTTATTTAAACATTTCGATAAATGAAATTTATTTTTAAAAGTTTTCCACGAATTTGCGTTTACAATTAAATGGAATTCAATAAGACATGTTGAGAAACTTAGCGGATCTCTTATTTACGGCATTCTATCTAAGTCTATATAAGTGATCCATATCAAGTCATATTGTCAAAAATCAATAAGAAATTTTTTTTTGCATTTGTATTAGAAAACTTCAACGATTTCATAAAGTTTAGAAAGTGTCTAAAGAATCACTTTGAAAAGAAATTGTTTTTATAGGATTTACTAAGTATTAGGCATCGATAATACAAAAAGTGCAGGGGAAACGGTGACCAATTGAAGCGCCCTCCTATCTTATCTCTCAAGAAATTAAACTAGTAGTGGAAAAGAACACGTAACTTCTCACCCGTACATTCATCCAAAACTACGTGAAAAGTACTCAAATTTCCCAAAATTTGTACATGAACTTATTTCAAAATCTATCTTTACGGAACAAATTTCATTAAGGGAAAAACATCTGTCTTTAAAATTTTAGTTGTAGGATGACACCGAAAGAAGTTTGAACTCTTGCAATTTTCTAAAAATCATGGTGTCTAACGAACATGAGACATGCACCATTCTCTTAAATATCGTGTACACTATTCAACCACAATTTCATGATAAAAAGAAGCTTTTTTTTAATTTGAGAATGTCCCAGGGGCTTTACATAAAGTACCCCCCAAAATTAAAACTCGGCTTGAAATTCAAGGGACCGTGCCATCTGAAAGATTGACCGACGGACACTCAGACAGTCAGACGTTTCGCCGTTTTTCTATTTTTCAGTATCAAAGTCCTACAAAACACATATTCTGGCTACAACACGTGTTAGAATTTTTTTCTAAGTTTAGCAACTGAAGTTTTCCACTTTTTCGTTACCAGGGTCCTGAAATAAGAGTTTTTCTGCCGAAAATTCGTTGCATTTTTCTTGCAGAATTACAATAATTTCTCTCTGCTCGGAAAGGGGTAGCGAGAAAGTAAAAATGAATACATAATTCTTCATTTTGGGGTTGATCTGTTGGATGTTTAAGAGATCTTAATAAATTGTTAGGTGGAATGGACTGTGGGAATATAGGCTTGCACAACATTCAGAAAACTGGTTACTTCATTTGTTTGAACAAATAAATGTACGGCATATACAACATTTATGTCACATAATTTTTATCAATAAGCTACTCAAGCACACCAAATGGTGAATTAAGTTCAGGTAAGTATGATGCATTTCAGCTTAAAGATTTTAAAAGTTTGCGAGCGCAAGCATCAGTTATCGGGGATCGTGTGGAGAAAAAACCTTGAAACCTTGAACCTTATTGCCAGATAATAAGAACCAGTTCTCTGAAGTTATGACCGTTGTTTAATTCAATATACAGAATAAAGATTCAAAATTAAGGGTGGTCGAAAAAAGAAGTTTATTTTGCTTTCGAAGATACTTATTACATCATTTCTCAGACGACAGCACGAATTTCATCATGAGTAGTAGTATGTGAATTGCATAATAAGTTACTTGATGGCGAATATGGAAAAGGTGAAGACACGAACAGATAACAAAGAAGTTACTCTACCTGCAACAAAAGAAGTTTGATTTAGTTAATCAAATTGTTAATTCATATTTCGATTTTATAAAATGAATGCAAACACAAACACTTCATCCCAGTTATTAATTTGAAAAAATATTTTTGTCACATATCTTTCAATATGGAATTCTTTATTACGCACTGCGGAAGCTTATATCGCAAGAACATTTTACCTAGAGAGGCAAGAGAAACCTGGTGCTTATTGATTTACGATTTTTTTATCAATATTTTTTAATCATAAGAATCATTTTGCAGAAAGTGAACCCGATGCTTTTGCCGATATGCAAAAGTTCGGATTATTGAGTCTCGGTAAACGTAGGCACACTTATAAGAAATGAATAACATTACCCTTCTAGCATGCCTAAGTGCGACTCATATTATAGACTTCTTTAAATTTAATTTTCCAAAAGTATCCCAGTACCGAAAATATGATGAAGCTTGTCGAAAATATCAATAATAATTTTTTGTTCTAATCTATTTGTATTCTTTGGGATTTCGAATTATACTATATGATTCAAAGTATTATTCTGAATTGAAATCTCTATTTGAATTATCCAGATCTTGGACAGTATAATTCTAATTAACCAGGTTTATCAAATACTAAGTTCGAATGCTCATGCTGTTGGGATCATCGAATTCAAATTATCAGAGTTTGGAGAAAAATTCGAATTATCGAGGGTTTCGATTATAAAATTCGAATTATTGTGTGTTTTAGCCAACAAATTCGAATTATCAAATTTTTAAATTTGTTTTGTTCGAATTAAGTTGATTTAGGACGTCTGCATTCAGAATGGACTGTTTTCACTCCACCGAATGCAAAGCAACGTGGCGCGTTGGTGCGTTGGTACTCACCGATGCGTCTTAGTGCAGGTAGGCGCCGTAAGAACCGTAAGCACCGTAGGCGCTGTAGGCGGCGACGGGGGCGGCGACCTTAGCGACGGCGGGGGCGGCGTACGCGGCATAGGCGGCGGGGGCGGCGTACGCGCCATAGGCGACGGGGGCGGCGACCTGCGAAAAAAAAAGCGAAAACGCACTGAAGCAGCCTGTAGGTGCAGAATAGAACCAGTACACTCTCTGGCGCACTTGCCAGTGCTGCCCACCCGCAGAAAACAGAAACTAAGATGATAATTGATCGAAGTAAACGGAATGCGTTCTTCATGTGTTCACTAGTGACTGAAGTAGGAACTCAATGCTAGTATCTGTGTGTCTAGATCGAAATGAAACCCAATGCAATCACTCTTGACCAGGAATCAATATAGAAAGAAACACATATTGTACTATTAATGTAAATATTAATATTTTTATGACAATTGTGTCAAAACCACCTTTGGAAATTAGATATTGGACATCGAAGGACTAACTTGAATCTATGATAATCTATTATGATGCAGTGGTATATATTGTCTTTTTTCCGGCCGGTGACGAACACCATAAGTATACTAGTGAAAGGAAAATAAATAAAAGTTTTCAACGTTCGTAGCACAATCTGTATGGACAATTGGACAATTTGTTAACGCAAAAGTGGCGATGATGTGTAAACGTAACAAGATTAAAATATGTAAAGGCTTGATTGTGACATCTTAAGTCACAACTCGGTTATTGTTTACTGAAGAGAAATGTAGGCGACTACAGATTGGCTGGCCGCTAGAGTTCTCCTTCAGTCTGTGTCTCTATCTGACCCAGCTGCCTAGGTAGTATCGAAAATCCTGCCACCATCGGAATTCGAACCTATGACTCCGAGTCAGAGCTACTGAAACTTATCCATTTAACGAAAGTCCCACCTTTTTTAGCCTGTTAATGAACGTTATAACTGCCACCGGGTCATACCCAATTGCAGTTCTAATAAATGTATGTATGTAAATGTATGTTTTATTTTTCATCCGTTAGCATACGTACCTTAGCCACGGCGGGGGCGGCGTAGGTGGCGACGGCGGGGGCAGCGTAGGCAGAGTAGGCGGGGGCGGCGTAGGCGACGGGGGCGGCGACCTTGGCCACGGCGGGGGCGGCGTAGGCGGCGACGGCGGGGGCAGCGTAGCTCACGGCGGGGGCGGCGTAGGCGACGGGGGCGGCGACCTGGACACATGAATGGCGACCATTGTTAGAGGAAAAATTAATTACAATATCACACTGCTTGCACTTTGTCGTACAGGAGCAAATAACTTGTTCGTAAATAAAGGGTTTTGTTTGGGAGGGGGATAGGGAATGAAATATGAAGTTTAGATACCTTGTCACTAATATCAGATTGGGAATGTATAACATGGGCAAAAGGTAGACAAAGTCTCATGAACGAACATGATTATGTATCACGCAAATTGACTTACATCCTCCACTTTAAGTCAGTGTGTTCACCATCATCCCATCCTCGAGTCTACAACATTTGTACTTTTCTTATTCCATTTTTATTTTCCTTGTATAGTCTGAAATTGCTGATTCAATTAAAAATGTTTATACTGATTGAATCTTCACTCTAGAATTTTCTCTTACACATTTAACGTAGTTCCCTTCCTAACATCTTGCTTTCATCTTTTTTCCCTCGTTTATTTTTCTACTCATAACCATCCCCGTCATTCCTTAGAGTTGCAAACTCTTCTCGTTTGTATCCCTCCCCTCAATATTCCTTGTATTTTTTTTTCAAGAAGTGTGTGGAGTGCTTACCTTAGCCACGGCGGGGGCGGCGTAGGCGGCGACGGCGGGGGCGTGGTAGGCGGCGACGGCGGGGGCGGCGTAGCTGACGGCGGGGGCGGCGTAGCCAACAGCGGGGGCGGCGTAGCCGACGGCGGCGGGGGCGGCGTAGCCATAGCCCAGACCCAGGGCTCCGCGCTTCTCCTGCTTCTTCTCCTCCACGGCCACCTTCTCCTCCTTCTTCTCCTCAGCCAGAGCCACGCAGGCCAGAGCCAGGACGAAGAAAGCCTGCAACAGCCAGCGCTCAGGTGAAGCCACGCCACCGAAGGACACGTTCACTTAAGTCGCGGACTGCTTGACTCAGCTTCACTAAATGGAAGGCCACCAAAGGACACGTTCACTTAAGTCGCGGACGGCTAGACACAGCTTTACTAAATGGAACGCTACAAAAGGAGAGGTGCACTTAAGCCACGATCGGGAGGCAAAGCTTTCCTAGGTGGAACGCTACAAAAGGACAGGTGCGCTTAAGCCACGATCGGGAGGCAAAGCTTTCCTAGGTGGAACGCTACAAAAGGACAGGTGCGCTTAAGTCACGATCGGGAGACAAAGCTTTCCTAGGTGGAACGCTACAAAAGGACAGATGCACTTAAGTCGCGGACGGGTACGCAAAGCGTCAGTAAAGTCACGCTACACAGGGCTTAGGTGCAGTTAAATCGCAGACGAGTAGGCAAGGTTTACTAAATGGAACGCTACAAATGGACAGTGGCACTTAGGTTTTGGACGGGTAGGCAAAGCTTTCCTAAAGGCACGGTACCAACGGATAGGTTCATTTAAGCTGTGGACGGCCAGACACAGCTTTCCTAAATGAAACGATACAAACGCACAAATGCAGTTAAGTCGCGGTTGAGTAGACAAAGCTTTACTAAAGACACGCTACAAAAGCACCGGTCTACTTAAGTCGCGTGGGCAAAGCTTTACTGAAGGCACGATACAAAAGGACAGGTGCACTTAAGCCGCGATCGGGAAGGTACCGCTTTTCTAATTGAATCGCTACAAAAATACAGGTGCCTTCAATCGCGATGGCTAGACACAGCTTTACTTAATGGAACGCTACAAAAGATCAGGTGCACTTAGGTTGCGGACAGGTAGGCGACGTTATACTGAAGGCACGCTACGAAATAATAGGTTTTTGAAGTGAGAAAGCATGTGTTCACCACTCCGCCGACGCACTACGAGGAAAGGCACGTTTAAAGGGCGTACCAACGGTTAAAGGAAAACTAAATTTGAAATAGTTTTTGTCTAAGAATATTTATATCGTTAAGAAACTGAGATTATTCGATCGTGAAAATTTCAAAGGATGTAAATATTTTCAAATAACGATGCAAAATGAGAAAAAATATTTTTTTTCATTTGGTATATAAATGCATAATAATGTACTATTTTTACATAGAAAAGTATACTTTACCCCACGTCATCAATTTCATCATTCGTGAGCCAAGCCTTGGAATGACATTGTATAGTATAAAGCCGACTAATCCCTCCGCAACATCGGCACTCACAGTACACGCACATTCTGAACCGTAACCGGCCAATTTTGAATTGCTCGTAATTGGTTCACTCAAGACTTTATTTCGGTTGAAACCCTTCTCTTTCTGAAATATTCTCGAGCGTTGGGAAACGGCAATTTTCATCCGCCGGAGGCCCTCAGCTGCTCCAAACTCCGTCGCAATTTCTCAAGAGCCCAACGGACAAGTTGTGCATTTATAATTTACGAGATCTGCGGCGGGCAGACAGGCGGGCACCGTTTAGGCTTTGTTTGGCCGCTCGACAACCACGCCTCCCCGACAGCCAAGTCCCACTTTCACCATCGTTCGCGTTGTTTTCTCGAAATATCGTTACGTGGATTTCTATGGCCTACGTAGTAGTAGTAAATATGCAAATATTTAAGTCCTATAAGTTCATAAAAGTTAAACAAATAATGCACAATATGTGGTTTTATTAGCGTCAAATCGTGCTCCTCTCGCTTTGCTATATTTCTTTGTCTGAAAAGAAAAAAATCTTAACCGTATAAGATTCTACAAGTTTATTACTTGAAAAATTGTGGAAAAGTCAATTCCACAAGTTCTTTCAGTAGTCTGTCTTTGAAACTACAAACAAAGTAATCCATTTTACTGCACTGATAAATATATACAATTCTCAGAACGTTTCAAGTATTATTAGAGGTTGAGATACATATTGGTTTTTAATTTAGAGTACAAAAAACCGAGAAAAAAACCCTAGTTCTACTGATTATACCTTCTATTCTTTTTGCTATAATTTGTATTTTCGAACAAAGAACTCAAAAGCAATGCTCATTAAAACTAACTTTCTATTTAAAAAGTGTAAAGAATTATTTGAAAAGCATACAGGCATTCCTCAGTCCATACGCACTTGGCCGCTCGGGAGTCTTAGGTGTCTTAGCCAGAGATTCCAACGTTTTGGCCGTCATGCTGAGACCTCTTTCACTACGAAATGGAGTAGTATGACGGCGCAAATGTTGGCATCTCTAAGTCCCGGCGCCTCCGGAGAGCCAAGGCGACATCGCACATATACAAATAGTATTTTTTTATCAATATTAGATAAAGCAAGCTTCAAGAAAGCTACCTTGGTTATAATTTTGGAAGCGTTTATCACAGTTTAGTTGTTGCTATATCTCCAAATAAAAGTACTGTAATAGTGGAACACTCTTATGCTATTCTTTTTTTCAAGTATTTCAAGTTGTACAAATTCCATAATCGATTCGGTTTTTCCAAACAGCAATTATTTCAAAGTTTTCTAGACTCATGACAATTCAAACCTAGTATATGTAGCTGCATATGTCCGAATAAAATACTTTTCTATTAAGGTTCATTAACGCAAGTCGGGATTTCAATAGACCTGGGATTAAAGCTATTCCTTCTACACTTGGATCCGACGTGAATGCCAAGTCTCTTCCATACATTTTACTCCTGACTGAAATATGTGTAGAGAATAAATACGAAAAAAACTAGGCTCTATTCTAAGCTATTCTTGGTATTTCAACTCAAGCAAAATTTTGCGTGAAATAACATTTTATGAATCCAACACCATTGAGTTCAGGTCTCCATACAGCGAACATTTCTAATTCCCTTCAACATGATCCTGATATTAGTCTCTAAAAAGCACGAAATAAAATATTTCTATACATTAACGATAAACTCGAAATTTTAAATCAACCATAACAAGTTTAGTTTAAGACTTTTCACAATCAATACTCAGTAGAATGTAGTTTTAAAAATGCGAACAAAATACTGTCTATTCAAAACTGTTATCCAAAATTCAAATTTTAACATCAGCAATCTCGAAAATCTTTAATCAAAAAATGCCCGCCGTGAAAAAATATTTTTCCCAACAACCACCACTGAGAAATCCAATCGATTCGAAACCTTTTTGGTACATGCTAACAAGACTGGTTCGTCATGTTTGAAGTCTCCAGTGGGAGTGTTTTCGCAGTTTTGAAACGCTAGTGTTTAACTTGCTAGGTTACATCTCTTATCACTCATCTAAATCCCTATCTGACTGAATAAGAAAATATAAAATAAAAAAAAGTGTTGCTAGCAAAGTACGAAGAAACTACGTGAGGTAATCTCAAAATTTTAAATGAAGCAAAGTGGAAAATCATTCCATGCAACACAAAGTCGACGTTCCTTGGGCGTCCGAGCTAGCACGGAACGGCTGAACACAGCTGCGAAACTTACCACGACCTTCATGATGAGAATGGGTACTTGTGCGTCTGAGAGTGCAAACGAACTGATCTGGTGGAGCGATCGCGGGGTCTTTATAGTCCGCTAGGTCCGTGTTCACCGCCTACGTCGTCACCGCCGCCGCCGCCAGCCTGCCGCCCGCCTTCGCCTCGTCCTTTCTGGCGGCGGGTGCGCCGCCCCCCCCCCCCGGCCCGCGCGAACGGCGGCCGCCCGCCACACCTCCTCTACGTTTCACCACTTCCCCTCCTCGCCGCGGTCAGTGCTGCCGCTGCGGGCTCGCTCTGGATCGCCGTGCGACGCGTGGAGGCGCAAGGAGCGGCGACTAACTTCGGGTGTTTAAGCTCTAAGTGGGTGGCTCAGGGCATCAACTGATGGAACTGCCGTGGCTCTGACTGGGAGGGACTAGGGTTCCTCTCCCGACGCTCGCAGGATTCCGAAACTGGCTACATAGCAATTCTTCGATTATTATTATGCCTGATGACATTAGATGACATTACCCCTCCTCCCTCACAGAAGGAATATATTTTATAAGTTAAAAGTCCTTCTCAACGAGGCTCGTGGCCTCAGAAATGTGTTTCCACTGTTAAAGAGATTCATTTTTTAAGACAGGAGGTGTAACAATGACCAAACGTCATCGGCCATTATAGAAATATAAAAGTATAGGTCGAATCCAGCCGCTGCCTGGAGAAGAATAGCGGCCACCTGCTGCAATCGGTAGTGTTGTCGAGGTGACTCCCATCAGCACTAGTATATGTGAATGCCGGAGCTGTACCCTATCCAACGGGCCTCTTGCCGCGCGCGATATTTTCTCCCTCTTCCTTGCATTTCTCACTTACATACACTTACACTTACATGAACTACCCTACCGTACACGTCGGGAGACCAAACGGGAGCTTAGAGCCGGTTTCGGCTGGGGCGGTGTCCTGTTGAGAGAGATACTTTGATGAAGAAAACTGCGTAACCAAATGCGTTATCTGCGCCGAATATCGTCATCCACCACGGGAGGGGCATCTCAATCCCTTGTAAAAAACTTACATATACGAGACGAATGATCAATACATTTGCCGGTAGAAATTATCAATCAGTAAAGAAAGCTTTAAATGGGAGATTGTCCGACCAAGAACCGCGAGCTATAGTAGCTCGCGGGGATATTTTTGATAGATTGCTTTGAGAACTCTACTCCACTGAGCTCAGACATATCACACACGGAAACAACTGCTGGCGAGCTCTCGCTCAACTGTCTCTGTCAGCCTCATGAATGATTGTGTAAATTTTATGTTTTGTTTTCATGTTTTGCGTGTTAATTTGAGACATTTGCTGATGAGTATATTTTGTTGGTGATCTTATGGTAATGAAGTTTTATTTCTGTTCTGGTTTCTTTTGGTGGCTCATAGAATGATTTAGAACACTACGTTTGTTTAGAAGCTTCATACGTTTGGTAACAAATTCTCTATAAGACATCGGTTTTAGCCGCCTAAATGACCCTCTGAGAAGGCGAAATTATGAGATAATAAACAGTTCACATTGAGAAGAAAACAATTTTTTCGGGTACATTTCATTTTGTATTATTTGGGCTACTTCCGTTCAAAAATTGTTTAATACGTTGTTATTTCATGATATATTAATATAAAATGATCTATTTAATTTTTCAGAGGAAAAAGTCTGTTTTACTACCCATATTATTTCCATATTATGAACAAAATATATAACAAAATTCTACTTTGAGCAAATCCGAGCTATTGACATTACACGAAGTGCGTGATACGGGGACTGGTCTTGTTTATCTTGTTATTCCACAAGGCCCTTAAATTTTTTACATAAAGCTTGAGACGGAAACAAACACCGTCATAGGAGATTAATTTGCCAAAGTTTTGAGAGAGAAATTTAATTGCAGAGATAATATATTTTTACTTACGTAGGAAGGTTAAAACGTGTCGACTGGACCTCATTCGCAAACGCCAAAATTATTTAATTGTTAGACGATAGAAGCGTAGCACGTAAGCCCCAGCTCTTTTAGCTCAATAGTCCGGGTTTTCCCCCAGCCAGGTATCTCCCATTATCGGGTCACCGCCCCGGCAGGGACAAGCTCTAAGCTCCCGACAGGTTATCTGACGTTCGATGTAGTGCAAGTTAGTGTAAGTAAGGGGCCCGTGTGTTAAGATATTGGTCCAGCATTCGCCTGGTATTGATCTAAGACACCACGAAAAACTAATAATCAGAGCAACCGTTCGCTTTAATTCTCCTCCAGACAGCGCCTGAACTCGACCTAGGCTAGATAATCTATTGACAAAAATCCCTCCACCGTCGGTTTTCAATCTATGATATCCGCCTCAAGTGTCGCTGCAGACAATGTTCACGCGGGCTCTGGCTAACTTAACGGGTTAAACACTACTTACAATTACCGTTGGCATGACGACCCTAAACAAATTTAGAGTTACTCAAGAGACTTCTTTTCTGATCAGCTGATTAACTATACAACTTTCGGTGCAAGTGGTTCATTTGTTCTAAATTTTAAAGTTATAATAGGGAGCAAGTGCTAAAGATTTGCCGGCTTGGGCGGCGAGATGGCTAGAGAGCGTATGCCGCCTCAGCGCTTCGGCCTGAAGGGTTGCGGGTTCGAGTCCCTCCATGGTCATGGTTGTTTGTTCCTTGTCTCTCATGTATGTGTGTCGCAAAAGGCCTTGTGAGTCTGCTGACCACAGACCGAGGAGCCTGCAAATGTGTCTAGTGTAAATGTTAATATCTGTGCTCATGGGGGAATGTAGTGGGTACCCGGCGTGGATAGCCGAAATCGGCATCCCCTGGTGATGGAAAAAGGCTTTCGGAAAAAACAAAACAGCTAAAGCTCCTTGATGGGTTAGTCTTCGGCTATGACCCTAGAATCACCACGTTACCACAAATTGTCCACACTCTGAATTGTTTCGTTTTATAAGGAACCTTCATTTACCCCAAGATGCCAAACAATGTATCTGAGAGACGGGAAGGAACGTTATCTGGAGTGAAAGAGGCTATGTATTTTTCAACAATTGAAATGCGCGCGGTTTTAGAGATCTGAAATATCTTTTTTCATCAAAATGATCATTTCTGAGTATCCCATTGTCAGACATTTAAACAGTACGTTTCATGTGATGTTTTGCTCAACCGGATTCTTGTCCACCTCGCTACGCGATGCATGAGAGATTCATAGTGATTCATCTGGCAGTAATGGTTGTCTTGCTGCCTCTTAAGTGTTAAATAAATGTTACAAAATGTGAACGCTACATACAAGGAGATTTTTTAGTTAAAAAGCTCTCATTATTTCATTGCCTTCTGATATCCTGACTTTTTAATTTGATTTTGTTGTTCATAGATCGGTTTCACAAAACTGCACATATGGATGGATGGCTTAACAATTACCACTTAAACCTAGCTTACACTACAACAAAGGTTGGGGAAACCCAGATGGCACCTTATGATTTCTCTTCTAGGTCTGAAAACATTTTACTGAAAGTATGAAATGAAAATTTATTAATGATGATAGTAGAATGGGTGGGGTTCATTCAATTATTGAATAAAGATAGAATTTGGATATGATGACCATTGGTGAAGTCATGATACTGATAAGAAATGTGGTGAATGATGAGTTCAAAGTTAAATGCATTATTTAATCGGCGATTTGATATGAACCAGGATGTATTAGCGTGACATTTGACTCTGACAAACCGCCAAGGCCCATTCACCCCACTCAGCTCTGTACATACACAGCCACTTGAGATTCACAGGCTCTTAGCGGAACTGATTGGAGTTGGGAAGGATACGTGAGGGACAGGCGGCGCAAACGTTGATGCCCGTACACCCCTTGACAGCGAATTTCGCAGTCCGGAAGCGGACCTAATCGCCAGAAGACTCATAACCAGAGAGGGGAAGGGATAGAAAGGAAAGGCTATTTTCTTAATGATGAATTCTCATCCGAAGAAAAACAACCATGCCTCCACAAACAAAGCTACAACGGTTGATTAGCGCGTCCGGGCGCGTTAGCTCATAACATTAGTGTCGTACGTGTAGTGCATGTTTTTACCGTGGAGAGGGGTGGAGGTCTTGGCCGAGAGAGATCCGGCGCCGAGTGACAAATCGGCTTGCGGTTGATTTCCCCGACCAGGCACCCGCTATGTGCGGTATTGTAGAGAATGTAAGTGACAGGACAAGGAAGAGGAAGGAACGATAGAGTAGCCCATGGCCTTTTCATTAGAGAAATATCCCTTAAAAACTGTTCCATTTGACTTAGGTAAGGCCAAAATCTTGCCAGCATCGGTACTGGAACCCTAGAACTTCCGGTGCAGAAAGCAATCTACAACGATTCCTACGTGGGAATCAAACCAATGACCCCCATCTGTATTGAGCTCGTAACTGCACTCGTGGTTGAGCGAACTTGCACCGCATTTGTCAGGCCCATCGCGTGTGCCTTTTGCATTGCGGGTTAAGCACCCACAATTCGGCACCCTGCCTCCAATAGCGCAGTCGCGGGTTAAGCGCTCGCAGTGAATTCGGCACCCTACCTACCATAGCGTTATTCCGCTCGGCA